GTCAATCAATCAATCAATCTTTATTGCATTAGTAGTATAAAGCGGTTCGAAAGCGCCATTAATATCAAAATAAGCGCAAGTAGATAAATGGGAACCTACCTTAGATGGTAGGGGGCACCCTCCCCCATCGTGGGGGTCGTTGGAGGGTCGGAGCTCGGCGGACGGCGAAAGCAGCGAGCGGCAAAAATGGCGTCCGGATACATCGGTGGTGAAACCAGACAGCAATGGAGAAGGCAGAGCCGGGACGACGCACAAGCGTGGCGGCGCAGGCGGGGCAGAGCCGTGAGGACAGAGCCATGGCCGCGCCGAGCATGCCATGCAGCAGAAGGGCCAACCAATCCACCGCTGAAAAGATCGCCAGAAAAAGGAGCCAGAAGCCGAAGCTGAAGACGACGGAGCCGACCTGAGAAAAAGAAACCCCCCTCCACTGGGTGCCGGTAGGGATGTCCCCACCCCTAAGAATTGTGGCCATAGGTTAGGGATAAGGAATAACTGTAGCCGCTCAGAGACCCCTTCGGGGGTTGGAGCGGGGTAGCAAGTTGAAGAAATAATAAATAAATAAATAAATAAAGATAAAATTTGAAAAATAATAAAATTGGACTTTTTACAGGAAGTATTAAAATACAAAGTCATAATTAAAATATGACTAATAATTAGAAAAGAAGACCACACAGTCCAGAGACAAATTCCAACAACAAGTGTGGAGAGTGAAGTAGTCTCCAGAGTGGAGCAGTCACAGGTCAGACATACTTTGGTCAGCACGCCTCCATCATCTTTTTATCCTTTATGATGGTGGTACCATATCTTGCCATTTGGAAAGTAATGAATTTGTCCCTGTCTGCCAACAATATGATTTCTCCTGATCTGACATTCCTGGGAAGCTGGATATTATGTTCTGCAAAAATATGTTCAGCCTCATATTTTGGACACTGGAATGTGACGTAGGACAAGCCCTCCATAAACTTTTAATCACAGTAGCAGGCTCTTTTCCTATATGGGATCCCATTAAAATGGCCTTCCAAGACTGCAAGCAGTAAAATATCTAAGAATGCCTTGGTAAAGGCCTTTCTGTACGTACAATTCCTTAAATTGGTAAAGTACGCTGGAAAGGTCAGGGTCAGTTTATAAAGTATAGATATTCTCAAAGCGCCTACTATACCTATATCAGTTTGAGCACTCTGGTATAGCAATCTTTGTTTTATGAGTAGTTGGGCTGCATAGAATCCAAGGGTCCTCATGTATTGTACTGAGAAGCCAAGGATAGCCACTAATCTCAATACAAAATTGTGCCATGAGTTACCCTTCATTTTTCCATAAGGTGTTGCAGTAGAAGGCAGTGGTCGAGGATGGAATGTCCCTGCTTAAATCCAATTTGTTCAGGTGCTAACAAGTTATTTTCGGTTACCCATGTAACCGAACTTCAATAGGAGATGTCTTGCATAAAGCCTTCCTATTACATCCAGCAAGTTTATTGGTCTATAGTTAGCTGGATCGATACGTTTCTTCTTATAAATTGGAACCACAATAGAAGTCCATTCCTGAGGGAACGTACCAGACCTATCAGTATAAGTAAATAGGGTGGCTAAAACAGGTGCACACCAGTCTTGGAAAGCCTTAAGCAAATCGGGGGGATAAAATTTTGACCCAGGGCTTTATTACTCCTAATGATAGAGATTAGGGATTTTATTTCACTGACAGATACAGGGGGCACTCAGGTGAGTTAGTTAATCATCACCAGTAGAAAAAAGATCTATTACTGATAGGCTTGAGCATTTGAGAACTAGATGCTTGAAGATGAATGACCACATCCAGGATCCTCTAACTCTTTCTCACTGTTATTGTAGCTCACCCAGAGATCCCTTTATTGGCCCAAATATCAGCAGAACCTGTTAAGTTACTAGATGCACCCCTTAGGGACAATCAACCTGCCCTGTATAAAGATTGTTTCTGCCCATCCTCAAACTGGACCTTCTGCAGAAGGGCTTTTAAACTGCTATTTAGAGAACCATGATATTGGAACAGCATGCCCTCATCCAGTAGGCCCCACGGAGCCCTCTAATTTGTCTTCAGTGGCTATATACAAAATGGATCAATCTTAGTGGATCCTAAAGAGACTGTGGACAAAATAGAGAAGCTAACCTGACAGAGACCCAGAGTGAGCATTATTTAAAGTGTATCTCATGGAATGTGACTGGATGGCCAAATAAAATCCAGGAACCCACATCCTTACAGTTTATAAGATATTATGATATAATTTTTTATCCAAGAGACCTGGTTAGCATCAAAGTTGACATTAAATGGATTCCTCATTTACACAATCAATGCCGCCACCCCCCAGCTACTAAAGGACGCCCTAGTGGGGGCTGGCATGTTTGATTTCTGCATTAGTGAACTGTGATATAGCATTGCCTTCTCCCTTAAGATCCTTAGCAATGGCTTGTCTTTTAGCTTTTAAAGATCAAGTTATTTTGGCTGTGACTGTATATATTCCTCCTCGTTCCTTGTCTTTTTGTTATCAGAACTGTTAGCTTTACTTTGGAAATTACATCTGTGAACTTGAGGTTAAATATCCCAAAGAAAAAAATAATACTGTTTGGTGACTTCAATGCTTGCATTTGAAATAGTAGCTAAAGGTTAAGGGAAGTACCTATGATAATGGTCTTTATAATGGCATGAGGAATACAAAAGACTCCTTGGTTCACAAACATGGGGAAATATTGTTAGCCGAATTGCTTTATTTGCAGCAATTGGCAATTTCTAAATGGGTCCTTGCCAACTATACCAAGGTCCTGTTCCCACCAAGGGTTACCAGAGAAGTAGTCGAGGCCTTTGTTGTTAAAATAAATGTCTTTTACTTAAGAAAATAAATCTCATACAAACAATACTGATGCACTCACACATTCAATCAAGTTCCTTAGAAATACAGTATTAAAATACGCACGGTTGCATTAGCAGGTGGGGGTGATTATGGGTGATACTTATTTGTCTTCGCAGCTTTGTTGTTCCAATGAAGAATGGATGGGAAGAAATAGAAATCTAGGGAGAATTCACACATGACTAGAACCAGCCAGAACGTGTGGGTCTCTTGACTGCAGATCAAGAGATCAAAGTAGAGGCAAGGGTTTGGGGATAGCAAGTGGGGAAAGCAGACATGGATTGTTGCGGGGGTTGCTAGCTAGGAAGGGCCAGGTGAATGGACCTTACCTTTTATAGTGGATCCATTAGGTGGGAGGTAACTGTTCCAACCTGTGGACCCACCTACCTGTTAGTCCGTCCCAAAACTAATCCTATTGGTTGCCTATAGGAGTGGGAGGTTACCTATCAGGAGTGGCCAATATTGAAATCTAATACCTTACTCAAAGAAGGGCATCTGGGCAGGTGTGAAAACCTTGGTGTCAGGATGCTTCATTGTAGAGTAGATGAAGCTGGCCATTCCATTGTAAACCAAATGCCCATTTGGCAGGAAATACCAATGCAGGAACAAAGCAGTGATGTGTCCTACGTGACCACAAGTGATTCAGCAATGGGGGCTGTCTTTGCTCAAAGCTGTTGTTTCTTACTGCTCACAATAATAGAGGTGTGTGCTTCTTCACCAGGCTGGTAACTGTGTAACTGAAACCTTATTCACGTGTAAGGCTTGTGCAGGCACCTTCTATGTGTGGCATCACAACAGGTGACTTGAAATGTACAGTCTTCTGAGCCTATGTGTGTGTGTGCACAGTTCATTGTGTGTAGCAATAAATATAAGTCCATAAAGCAAAATATCAAGTTCATTCTCTAACAATATTCAGCCAATTGATTCAGCCATAGCTTTGTAATATTAAATGGTAACTTTGAGGGAGATAAGAATGGGGAATTCACTTATAACCAGAAGGGCGTGAGTGTGGTCAGCCATCACTTTTTGATAATGTGGTCACTTTCTGAAAGCAGCCATCAACCACTTATATTCTGCATCTTTGTTTCTGAAGCTCTGTGGGATTGTGGAACACCGATACCTCATATTGAAATTGCAGTTAATATTTGTCTGAAATAGACCTATACACTTCAAAATGAATTACAACAGATTATACTGTCAGTATCGCATTACAGGAAATAGGAGGCTAGTGCATGTCTCCCACATCCCAATCCAGCCCACTGCTTGTAAGTTCCTTGATGAGTGGAAGAGGAGATAATAGCTTGGCAGGCATTACAGAATGCGTTATACCCTAGAGATTTCTCTGTTCAGGCACACTATGCCCATAAGAAACTGGATAGGACTCTTTATTTCTTTAGTAAAACTGTGTTGAAACAATAGCTTCAGTGCTGGAGGGAAAATGAGGAAAAGATGTGCATGCTCAGTGGAATCTTTGGGTTTACTTTTTCCCCTCCTCCCATGCTACACTACTTTTAAAAAACTGCTTGTCATGTACTGAGGGGAGGCCACTTGGGGAGGGGGCACTTGTGGTTGCTCTTTCCAGACTGCAAACATTATATGGTGAATAGTAGACTATATTTCAACAAGAATTTAACAACATACATTTCAGAGCAAAATCAACTTTAGAGTGTGAATGATATGAGTGTATTGATATGATATTGCACAGCCATAGAAATTACATGATTTTGTGTCTTTTTTAAAAGACTGAGGAATTATAGTACGGGTAGAAACAGAATATAAGGTTATATGTCCTAATAAGGTCTGCTTTGGTGCTGCTGATATTCTAAGATGCATTACAGTACGTATTGTCAGTAATATTCCCCAGCCTTACTAGAGAACAAGTTCGATTTGTAGTCCCATTAGAGGTTTTTGGTATTCAGCCCAGCTGCCTTGAGAATACTGAAACTTGACAATTTGCTTTAAAATCTGAATGTAATTACACAGCAACTTTCTGGTTCCATTTATTCATCTGGGAAATGCTACAGATGTAGCTCACATTGAGACTTTGTAAAACAATAAAATGTATCTGTAAAACTATTCTTACCAAGATACCAATAATTAAAAGTACTTGATGTTAATGTTACAGGTACACTGACCCAGAATGAGATGATATTTAAGCGCCTCCACCTAGGCACCGTATCATATGGCACAGACACAATGGATGAAATTCAGAATCATATTATCAGTTCCTACTCTCAGGTATTCGGCATTTGTATCTT